ACCCCCAAGTTCCCGGCTCCCCCTGTCCCCAGGGACAGCAGTGGGGGCTCTCCAAGGGGAAGACCCCATTATTGGCAACACCAACCCCAGAGCTGCAGCGTTTCGTTGCTCCCCACCTCAGCATTAAAAAAAACCCACCCAGCCCCTCCCTGACACAACCCAGATCCTCCCCACACCTTCCTTTGTGGCCAGCAGTATTCAGTTGGCAGCAACTTAAGTAATGTATTTAAGCAATTAAGACCCTCCTTTTGAGGCCTCATTGCTCAGGCAGCGCAACTCCCTCCAGCCCTTTCTTGGGGCAGGGGGGAACAAGGCAGTAGCGCTGCCCTGCATCATCCATGGCAGGGGCAAAACACCTCTTGAGGGGCTTCCCAGAGACCCCCCAAACCACACCAACCACTAACAACTCACACCACGTGAGCCTCAGACCCCTACCAACCAGACCTGCGTTTTCAGAGGTTGCCACTCCCAGCTGGCCCCAGCACCCCCTTATTTATAGGAGGTTCATTCTTGCAAGTAGTACCTAATTAGATAATTAAGAAGAAAATTAGCTGCCCCTTCCCCACCTACAGCCTGAACAGGCTGCTTGTACCCCCGTAGCACTGCCGGAGGTGCTAGGGGGGCTCTGTGCCGTAACAGTGGAAACCACAGCAACACCTAAAGTTTTCTTTCTTGCCTTAATATAAGCGCTGGCCTCTCTTCTCTGTATTGAGGTTATTAATCATTTAGTTTATCAATCCCTGAAGTGGCAGGGAGCCTGGGGCTTTGCTTTGGGGGTGCAGCAACGTCAGGTTGAGGGGCAAATAAGGCTCTTGCCGTGGTGCGCGGCATGCTGCACTGGCAGCCCCAGCTTGGTGCTGGGGTCTGCCTCTTTCCAACCCAGTGCATAAGTGTCAGCAGACACCAGCACTTGGTCATGAGGAGTTTCTTCCCCTGACTTTTTCCCTCCCCCTCTCTGCCACGGCATCATGTTATTGGAGTTCTGGAGGCTTTTGGTTTCTTCCACAGGTAGGAAGAGGAGTCACGTAGCGATGAGACTCTCAGTGGACCCCAGGAACTGAAACCATGAGTAAAACATCGGCTGTCTCTAACGATGCCGCAGGAGTGTGCACGCCAGCCAGGAAACATGTACACCTTTCTCACAGCCCACGAGAGACCGCTAGGTGCACGTAGAGCAGCCTCATGTCTATGATACTATCAGTTCTCTCTCGTAGCAAGACGTTTCTAGTCCTAAAGGGTCAAGCCTTTAATGCTGAGCTTCTCCTGCAGTTTGTTTTAGACGTGCCGTGGCAAGCAGCAGAGATGCTACAGGGACCGGTCCCCAAGCCGGGCTGCTCCCGGGGGTCTGGGCATGGGATGTTAAACGTGACTTTCCTTGTGGGGCAGAACCTGCCCCCCTCAGCCACATCTGTCCCAGGACAGGCTCCTGCTGTCCTGTGCTTGCATGGACAACCAGGAGGGACTGGAGCTGCCTTCAGGCTCTACAACTGGATTTCTCCTTCAGTGAAAAACCAATCAATTTGGGGTTTTTTTTGGTGGTCTTTGGTCCCAAGCGCTCCCTCCGGCGCTGCCTGCGGTGCAGCTGTGAGGTAGAGGAGCAGGGGAAGCGCGTGGCTGCGCCAGGCAGCTCTGACACCCCCATGTGCTCTGATATCCTCGAGCGCAGAAATCACAGGGTGGCACTCGGAAACCGCTCAGCAGTCAGAGCCACGATGCAGAACTAGCGAAAAGCATAAGGACCAAAAAAATTCCTGGTGCAGACCTGCCTTTGGTGGGCTTCCCTGCAGAAGGGGGATGGAGAAACTCGGGCCTCTCCCGGGGGGTCCCCTGCCCTGCCTTGACCCCCCTACAGCCCCGGCTCCGCTCTCACCCTGCCCTGCTCCCTGCAAAACCAGTTCCCTTTTGTCAGGATCTGTCCCCGCTGCAGGGTCCTTTCCTGCTCTTGATTTTACACAGTGCTGCTCCCGGCGTGCACTGGGGTAAACGAAGCTGGAGCCTGACACCCCCAAAATCAGGATGGATGCGGAAGCTGGCTCCTGGGTCACTCCCAGGCTGCCACAAGCTTCATGGGGTGGACACGGACCATACACCAGGCGAATGCTTCCCATATGCCTTTATTTGCAAAGTTACAGGATTTTTTTACAGGCACTGTGCGTTGGTGTTTCAGACTGGTTCAGATTTTTTTTCTGTATTACCCAATGACCGAGAGGGGAGGTGGGAGTGGAGAAAATCCCTCACAGCAACCGTTCCAGCCTCCAGAAAGGCAGAAGACATCTGAGAGGAACAATCTGCTTCTTCTGAAGCCATGAAGCAAGAAATCTGGTTTATAAACAGGCTTAAAAAATAATATACATATATAAGAGCAGCTCAAAGCTAAAGTACAGCGATAACTGGTACACGTCTATGCATATCTGTTCACACCCTTTCTCCAAAGCTGGAAAAGGGATGGTTTAAAAACTAAAAACATAGGTTGTTTTTTTTTTTTAAAAAAAAGAGATTCCATGCATTAAGTTTTAGTGTTTTGTGCAATTAAAATGGGATGAAAATAAATATAACTTAAAAAAACCCCAACCTTTTCCATGACACTAATGGAACAGAGGCAAGTCTATAAGGCACTTCCACATGGGCTATTCTAGAAAGCCTGGCAAAGAGCTAAAACAGTGCAACCATTTACATGGCATCGGATGAGCTAAAGACATCTGTCTGGTGAGCTATGAACTGAGAAAAACCTTAGGAGACTTCAGTCCTCGGGAAAGAGGCTGGGGCATGGCTGCAGACGGCTTGATGGCCATCAACTCCACCTTATTGCTGCCAGGAGGAGACCTCTCCTGCTGAGGACGCTGGACCTACCGAACGATGGCAGAGGGGCTCTGGAGCACCGCTCCCGGAGAGCGAGATGAGCCCCAGGGTTTGGGGATGGAGCGGGTGAGGGACTCGCCGGCTGCTGAGCTCCTGCACCACCTCCAGCACTGCACACTCCTGTCCTCAACGTGAGGGACTCCCCGGCTTCCCCTGCAGCCTCCCCTCCCCACCGCCCTCTCGACGGCTGACCTTTAGCAAGCCAGCTCTGCCGCAAGCAAGCCGCTTAGTTCAAATGTTCCAGGAAGTTAAAAAATAGCCTCCGCCCTAAATAGGGAACTGGGTGTTTTCGCAGGATCAGGAGTGCGGAGGCCGTACGCGTGGCCCAAGCAGGCTGGGAAGCCAGCGCCGAAGAGCAGTGGCAGAGTTAGTCAGTTCTGCAGGAAAAAACGGGAAGGCATGGGGATACCTGACTCTGCTTTGCCAAAGACGACTAACCGGGCTGCCTTGAGAGCTGCTTTGCTGCTGTAACCCTTCACCCGCTGCTGATAAAAATTGCGGAGATGCTTCAGGCAGAAGGGTTGCCCTGGGCCAGGTTGCGGGCATTGGCAGCACTACCCCTACACATGTGCTCAACTGCTGCCAAAAAAAGACTGATCAACCTAGATGGCAACTTTAGGTCTCATAGTAGTCCCTTATAAGTTATTTTTCTCTCCCCCAGCCCTGCCCAAAGTCTTTCTTCTCCATGGAGGGCTGGAAGCAGCTCCTAGCAGGGGAGCTGGGTCTCTAGAGAGGAGCTCGAAGTGTTACCCGCCACACCAGCGCAGGGTACATGGGTGGGAAGCACCTGGCCATGGTAAATACCTGCGCCCAACCTCTCGGCCCCACAGCAGGAGGGAAACCTTCATCCTCCAGTGCCACCTGGAAATAACAGAGCAACCTCCACGTGATGTCTTGAACACAAAGAAAACCCAAATCTGCCCTTCTCTCAGGGACTCGGCAGAGCCAGTTCCCTAGGCTGAAAGGTGCCAGCAAAGACAACTAAGGGGCTCCCACCCCAGTATCCGTCACCATCTCCAGGCCTTGCTCACGCACCCTGGTTGCCAGTGGGTCCTGGCCATGGCCACTGAGTATTTTTGGGATGAAGCTACCAATTCCAGCCCAGGGAGAGGCTCCTTCCTCCACCAGCCCTCTTAAAAATCAGGCTGCGCAAGAGACAAAAGCACGGTAGGCAAAGCGTGTGCTTGCCTAAGCAACCCCTGCCGGGCTGCTCCCGGCCGGCACGGCCACATGCTCCCACTGACTCTGCGAAGCCAAGGTTTCAAGTTCAGCTTTTGTTCTGGCAGGTTGGCTCTCTATTTACATGGAGAGGGAGAAAAAAAAAACACAACAAGACAACCTAAAAAACCACAACAAAAACACATTAAATAGGGAGAGTATAGCTTTCAAACGGGAAGGGCGAGGGCTGGAAAGTGTCTTGTAGTGCAGTTCAGAAGAGTCAGTCGGGGACAGGTTGGGGGTAGTGGCAGAGTCGGACACGTGGCTTTAATGCAAGTCTTCGCTCTGGGACAACTCTGTCAGGATCTGAATGAGGTTGTCCAGCCCCCAGAGGTAGCCGTCCTCTCTGTTGCCTTCCACCCAGGGCACGTTGTGCTGGAGAACTTGTCCCTCCGGCAGCGGGGTGGTTTTCCCAAAGTCAATCATCCAGACTTTGGCCTGTTCCTTCTTGTCGTGAATAAAGAGGAGGGAGCTCCCAATTACCTGCGGAGAGGAGAGACCAGTTAGTGGTGCTCCTATTACTCATCCTCAGCCAGCTTCAGGGCTTTCAGATACCTTATCTCAGGCTGCATTTGCAAGAGATAATGCTGAGATTTTGCATGCACAAAAGCAAGCCAGCTCTTGGCACAAGGTGAGGATCAGAAAAACATGGGCATGAGATAGAGATGTCATTTTGGAAACTGAGTCAAGGTCCCCAGGGAAGGAATGAGATGAACGGTCTCAGCCTTCAGATGGGGATTTTTTCCAAGGCTGGTTCTTTGCGACCAGCTCGCGCTCTTCACACACACCAGCCCTGCAGACATCACTGCAGGGATAGGTACCCTCCAAGTACGAGTTACTTGCAATGTGCTGTCTCCTGCCTGAAACACCATCCAATTGCACCCAGATTCCCCCTAGAGTATCCTCCCATCTTTCACAGTGCTCTAGGGATGCAAGCTACTGAGGTGCACGTACATGAATTTCCTTTTCCGTGAGTTCACTCAGCTGCATCTACTTTGAAGGGCTCTCTCATATCCTGGTCAGCCTTTGGGAAAATCCTGCAGCAAGTACTGGCCTGGGCAAGGCCGGAGGAGTCCACAGGTGCATGTGGCAAGGTGAAGCACACTGCTTCTGACAGCATTAGTCTCAAGGCCTGTTGCAGGGGGGTGAGACCCCACGAGCCCAATGCTCACCATCCACGGAGCAAAGAGATGCTCAGCAGGTGGGTACCTCCAGCTGAAGGCCAACCCAGCTCGCAGTCCCAGCCAGGCTGCCGCCCAGCAGCAGCTCTCCCGTGGCTTCCCAACGCTTGGGGAACACATATCGGTGTCAGGCCATTCACCACCATGCTCTTCTGATCAATCTGCTCCTTCAGTCAGAAGATTTTAGCAGGTGGTACTACAGAAAAGCACCCACGGACATGCTTCAGAGCTGTCCCAAATGAAGATTGCTTTCCAAACCTATCCAATCTTTCCAATGCTATCAGCAGGGTTTAGCTTGAGGTTTGCCTGTAGAGGAGGGTTTTGAACAGGAAGCACGTACTCTTTGCAAAAGCTATTATGAATTTACATTTTTGAGGACACTTCCTCCTCCAGTGCATTGGGAAAATGTCCAAGGTCCAGAGATATGTATTATTTCCCAGAAATGCTTATCTTTAGCTTTTCTCCTTCCAAGCTCTTATAGCCCTCTCTTGACCAGGACAGAACACTTTAACTTTAAGGAAAAACCTTTTGCTGACATTCTTTGCTTGCCTGTCCTGGGTCACCGAATTCTCCTGTAGCTCCTTGGAGAAGCCCTGCCCAGCGAGGGCCCCGTGGAGGGACACGCAGAGCTTTGGCAGACCTTCTGCTGCGCTTCGTCTCAAAGTGGGATGGAAAGTCAAAGCTGCTGCTTTTTAGTTTTTAAGGAGTGGAAACTCCTTTCAAAACCTCCTTGAAAGGCTGTTTTGTTTCTGTGTTTTCAAACGAAACCCTGGCATTTGGTTTCAGGGAGTATTTTGTTTCCCTTGTTGAACTGACCTGAAACCCTTGGGTTTGACGTTTCCCTTCCAATTGCCTTACAGGCGCTGCTGTCTGGAGGCACAGCCTCATCTGCCTCCGGCTCCGGGCAGGCAGGGTCCCAGCAGGACCCTCCATGAGCAGATGGGGCTGAGGTGGCTCACGAGGCTCCAGCTGAGGGACAGGGGACTCTTGGAGCTGTGGCTCCCGTTTCCTGGGAGTCAAGGGCTCCTATGAGGCTCTTTTGCCTATAGACAACGTGTGCCAAGGACATGCGCTCTCACGTTTTGTTAAGTAGATGCAATAGCAAATACTCTTTGCTGATGCTAAATCAATAAAATGATTTAATTAAATTATGGAGCATTCCAATTCCTGTTGAAATGGCCAAAAAATGTAGCGCTTCCTCTTTGTTTTCGCACCAGAACTGAATTTCCCCTGTAGAAAATGTTGATTTTGAGGACACTCATTTCTGAAGGAAAGTCCTTCCATGGGAAGGGTCCTTACCGTCGCGCCCTAACCAGCTCAGCAAAGGCAGTTTTGGGGATATTTTGTTTTTGGCAACGTATGGCTACGTTGAAGCCTTGTTTGATCACACGGAGCAACTGGCAGCTAAACGGAACCTGATGTGCATTCAGACAGGAATTTCTCTCCAGAAAACCCCTGTACACTACGGGTTTTTTTCCAGTTGTATAAACCCATAAGCAGCCTGAATTCCTCCTAGGTCACTTTTAATCTGCATGAACACCTGTTTTCAGTAGATTTGAACCTATGTCAGATGCAGGAACATTACATCAATCATCATCCATATCTCCATGTAAGTATTAGAAAATAGGGAAATAAGAATAAATTTAAAGCTGTAGAAATTTACAGACTTTGACTTCTCTTCTCTCCTTAGACAAGCTGAGATTAAACTGTTCACATTTCCAGGCGGATTCTATCTAAATGTGAGTATTACCTCATGGCATTTGAAGAACGGGGATGTCTCCAGGGTAGCGCGGATACCCTTCAACCGGTTAAGGTAACTGTTCTGGAATTACAAAAAAAAAACCAAACCGAGCTGTCAGCGCTGTGGGAAGCTTACATAAGAACTGCTGCATAGGGCAGACAGGAAAGCCACCCCTCCCGGCATCTTCTCCGTGATACCACGTTTGCATGTGGGGGCGTCCCCCAGCGGCCCTGTGCTCAGCATCCTCCCCATAGATGTGTCCTGTTGGAGGGTGTCCTCTCTCTTTTGGGATCCACATATCCTTTTGGCTGCTGTGGCACCCTGCAACTTCCAAAACTTGGTGAGAGCATTTACTTTTGTTGAACCAGTGCTTTCTGCAGACTTTCCCCTCCACATCCATGGTGCTCCCAAGGAGGCAACAGCTAATTCAGCAGCCGCTGCTGTGCTTGCACAGCCAGGCTGCTCTTTTCCTCTCATCTGCACTCTTTTTAATAGGTCAGCTCTTCACCTCATCCGTCACTTTATCGCTCAGTCAGTTAAGCATCACGAGACGCTTCTGTAACTCCATATCAGCACTTCCACAAAGTTGGTACCATAGATGGAAGGGCTTTCATGCTAGTCAGCATGCAGGTCAAGACCCACGTGCCTGTTTGAGCATCCCTGCAAATTGTTGGAAGGCACTGAATGTTCCCAGGTGGCCCCTTTCATAATTTGATTTTGAAGTTTAGACAGAAGGACTAAGCACAGGAACATGCACAGCAGGTACCTGTGCACTATAATACACCTGAATTTTCATACTTTGACTGCGTGGGGAGATGTGGGGGTCACTGTACTGGAATGCTTCTGTCAAGGAGCCCCATCCAGAGCCAGGGTATGACGGTGTGAGCGTGCTCCAAGCTCTTTGGGGATAAAATGCAGCCAGACAATTTCATTTACAGATCCAGGAATAATCCCTGAGTAGGTCTTGTCAAAGCAAACATGCTGGTTTGAAGGAGGAAGTGCCAAGGGCCACTCCAGCTGGAGGCATGCGTTTGTAGGCTTTGTTATAGTGCAGCTTAAAATGGGAGTGCTTTGTCAAATAGGATATTTGACACAGTTGGTGTAAATTGTTTACAGCTACGTCTCTTATTCTCCTGGCAACAGAAGAGAAACTTGGGGAATGCCAACTGTGGCTTACCCATGCGAAGGGTGCCTGGTGCAAGCAGGGGGATGCCTTGGCCACCTCTCCTGGCAGCCCGAGCGTGGGGCAGCCCGCTCTGCCAGGGTGGGAGTCCCCACTGCCCACACCATCACATACTGAGATAAACAGCAGGCTCAGAGGCTGCCATCAGTCCCAGGAATGAGGGAGCAGAACATGGCTGTGCCTCTGCAGCGAGTTTTGGGGCCAACTCCTGAGCATTCTCAGCAGACTCGGACCTGGCCCGAGCAATGATGTTACAGCAAACATGTCCCCTACCAGCCCTTTGCTGCTCTCCCCTCACCCCTGCAGCAGGATGGCATTTCCCTCTGCCAATTTTCATGCTTTTTTAAGAGAGATTGCTCAGGCTGCAGCCCTTCAGGGCAGGGAGCCGATCAGCCGAGGGCAGCCTTTGCAGGAGGAGTCCTCTCCTGGCAGCCCCCCCAGCATCCCCCACTCACCAAAACATTGCGGTTTCCTCTGGTGAACTCCCTGAAGGCCTCCGTGACTTGTTCCTTTGTCCGTGTCTTCTTGAAGTCCCGGTTCACAGTGCCGTCCTCTTTCTTGAAAAGAAGGGAGAGTGGTGAGCAAGATGGGGAGGGAGGGAGCCAGGGCAAGGACAGGTGTTTCAGCAGCCACACATGTCCCTGAGTAGGATGTAACCAGCTTTTTTTTGGCAGCTGAAGCACCTGTCTATAGAGGAGGGGTGAGAAGAGGTAGCAGCTCTCTGGCTTGCATATTCCAAACCATCTCACAGCTCCACTGATTTGCCCCCTAAAGCAAACAGCGAGTCTCCACCATCATGTACTTGGTGAGGTCACCAGCAATGTGGACGAGCTACTTCTCATGGACCGGGCGCTTAGTGCCCACCAGTGGCTGGAGACCACATGTTTCTGGCCACATTGTGCCCCAATGTCTTCCAATTGCTGCTGTGTCTGAGCACAGGCGCTGACACCAGCCTCGGGCTGCACCCCTGCCTGGGGAGGAAGGCAGAGCACGACCGTGGAAGGACACAACTGAGCGTGGATGGAGACAACATCTCAGGAGCAGGCACAAAACCCCCTCCGCACAAAGTCCTCCACAAACCACTGCAGCAAGGAGATGAAGGCAAGGAGCAAGCCCCATGGCTGTCTTGCCTCACTAGTCCTTTGATAGCCCATGCACAGCAAACCCTCAAAGGCAGCAGCCTGGCACCGAGATGCAGTGAGCAGCCTTGTGCTCTCCTCCACCTCTTCCCCAGAGGCACATCCATGCTTGGCCCACCACGGGGACAGCACATCTTGGTCCGTTGCAGGGACGGCACGCAGCCCTGACCCAGAGGCTCCTAGCCAAACCTCTGAGCAGCTTTGTAGGTTGCTCCCCATTTCTCCGGTCCTGCTGGGGCTCTGATTTTTAGATCAGCACGTTTCATTGTCCAGAGCGGCCGTGGGTCGAGCAGGCAGAGCTTGCTTCCTGGATACAGGGGCTATTTTAAACCACACATGCTCCTGCTCACAGCTCCACTTGCACAGCTCCATCCCACCACTCCGGACAGCGTGTTTGCACACAATAGAGTGAAGGGACAGAGGCCAAAAAGACATCCTGTGGGCTGGGGAAGATGAAGTAAAGATGAAGAAACAGAGCAGAGGCCGGGAAGGAAGAGAGCACAATGAAGTCACCTGCCCCAGAGATTTATGTGCCCTGGCAAGTCTCTGAGACCCATCCAGGGAAGTGCCCCAGAATGGGACCATGTGCATCGCCCTGGGCAGAAGGTTGGCCATGGACATGGTGGCCAGGCCAGCTTGGGGGAGGGTTGAGTGCCCAGGCTGCAGGGAGCTGGGCAAGGCGAGCCTAGCACCAAAACCCACACCTGACATCTACTTTGAGATGAATCACACAGCGTACTTCCAACTTCCAGCTAGTGTTCCGTGCAAGTGTTAACAAAGGCGATAACGAAAGCAACATGTGAAAAGTCTCCAGGAAAAACTTTGTTTGCACGGGGTGCAACCAACGCACCCAGCTTCAAACCACCCTGGGCCCAGCCTGACCACCGTGCTGCCACAGGGTATGAAGGCAAGGCCAAGAGCTGGCAGAGCATGCATTGGCAGGGGCCAGGGACAACCTTCTCACCAATGCGTGCTCTGCCAGCTCTTGGCCTTGCCTTCACCTCCCTGCTGCAGCAGCCATCCTGCCAATGGACCAAGCAGAGCCAGGCTCTCTGCTTTAGGCTGTGTCTCATGAGGCAGCAGGCTGCAGCAGCGCAGGCAGGAGGTCTCCTCGAGGATGCTCTGGTGGCACGTGCACAATGTATAGGGGAAGGGCGCTACGCCACTATACATCCGTCACGTGAGCCCTGACGGGGCAGTTCGAAAATCAACCCACCCTCTCCCCAGGGGATGATAGATATCAATTTGGAGAAGTGCCAAGGCTGTGTCTCATGAGGCAGCAGGCTGCAGCAGCGCAGGCAGGAGGTCTCCTCGAGGATGCTCTGGTGGCACGTGCACAATGTATAGGGGAAGGGCGCTACGCCACTATACATCCGTCACGTGAGCCCTGACGGGGCAGTTCGAAAATCAACCCACCCTCTCCCCAGGGGATGATAGATATCAATTTGGAGAAGTGCCACAGCACTAATTTCGCATGTAAAGAGCACAACTTTCCACAAAGCATCCAAGAAAGGAGATGGACTTCTAAGTGCTCCTAAAAATAAATGAAAACCACAGATGGCCTTTCAGATAAGGCAATCTAGGCTTCAGGAAAGCCAAAGAGCCTCTCCGTAATGCTGCTCCCATAATTACCTGCCTCCCGCAGCTTCCTTGCCCAGCCAGAGGCTGCTGCTGTGGGGCTGACAACTGCCACAGCATTTACAGGTGTCCAAGCCCCCAGGGGGCTGCCTTCCACTCAGCAGAAATGTGAGGGGGGCTGATAAGGGCTATCGCAACCTCCGCCCCACCAGCAATCCCAGTTTGCACTGGCGTCACTGGGGCAGGGTTCAGGTCAGGCGGTTCCCCCTCCGGTACTGTGTCTGGCCTCAGATGGGGCTCATGAGCCGCCTGTCTCGGAAAAGTCAGGTGAGGGTTTTCAGGGCTGGTTCTGGGACCTGACAAACGTCCCAGCACCAGGGAACATAGTCCCACCATGACTTGGCTGCAGGCAATGGTGAGCAGCTCTCAGACCAGAGCAGGAGCTTGGGAGCAAAACTTCTTGGGAATGAGCTCCAGTAAGCTTCAGCTGGGTCATCAGGGATCATATGTATTACTTTTAGCAGGGTAATTTTATTAATAGCTACTGCTTCACAGTTTCAAGCTACTCCAGAAAGTTAGATAAGTGTCATTAATCTCCTTTTGCAGAGGACAATTTTAATTTTTAGAGAAGAACTGGATCCTCAAGGCCACCTGGGAAAGCAAGAGCTCAGCCAGGAAAGGGTTTCTATCCTCATTACCAACCCAGAGCTGCCTGTTCACCTCCTCTGCCCACACTGTCCCTCCTTCCTCCATGTCCCCTTCCAGCCCATGCACCTGGGGCCAAAACCTGCCCTTCCCTTGCAGAGGAAGGTGCTCTCCTCGATCAGCCTCTGGCCGCGGGCAAGGGGCAGGGCAGATTCACCCCTGCTCATCCCAGGGAAGCATCCACAGCAGGAAAGAATACATGAAGACACTTATTGGTAAATAATATTCTCCCAAAGTTTTCTCTGAGGGCTCAGTAGCAGCCTCAGGGCACCGAAGGCCCTTTCCCTAAGGTGGGAATTCAACCCCAGGAAAAGGGCAAATGCAGGGATACAGTGCAGCACGACCGGCTCTACAGCCCTGCTGGAGAAAAAGCTAGCCGTGAACCAGTGTGAACTATTAATGCTTTAGCTTAGGGGGAAATAATCCAGAAGCTGAAGGATTTAAGGAGAATTACAGTAATTAGAGCGTTGATCAAATTAGTCAGCCCCTAGCAGCAGCAGGATTACTCCTGGAGGCCAGCACTTCTCAACATTTTTCAATTAAAGAGCTGCCTCACCTCTTTGAAAAAAATTCCACCCCTCACATCGCGCAGCAACTCACTTATGCTTGGCTAAAACAGAGGTGCAACTCTCACCACTCCTTTATGGCTTTTATTTTCCACCACAGTATTTTTTGGCCTGTGTAGGAATATAATTAGGTTTTGGTTTGTTCTTTTTTTTTTATTATTTTTTTCTTTCAACCAGTTCACATATGACCTGCTTTTGCCATAAAGCCCCAGATCACAGGCTGAGAAGCACCGCTGGAGGCCAAGGATATTATATCATGTTGGACTATAAATAGACAGATATCCCTGATTATAGCAAGAAAGCAGGGAGAAGGAACAGTACATGGGAGCTTTGGTCCCAACTGGCCCACTCCTTTTTTTAATATAGCCTCAGTTTTATAATAAGCACCAGCAAAACAACAGCAACGGGAATGCAGCAATGGGAACTAGGCAAAGGGTTGTCCCAAGCTGGAGTAGCTTGCAGCGTGCTCATGGGTGCCTGCAGCAGAAGAGGGACTTTGGGAGAGTTGGGGAGGTCACGGGGGAGCTGTAGGAGCAGGCAAATGCCCTGATCCAACGTAGGCACCGCAGAAAGCTGCTGCAGGAGAGCATGACCAGCAGCGTCCCAGGCAGTGGTGTTGGGCAGGCAGGGGTGCTGCGCGTTGCTGATGCCGGAAAACTCTTCAAGGGGTTCAGCTCAAAGGCTGCTCCTTGGGTTTCTGAGAGTGGTTGAGTTAGAAATAAATGCATTGTCCTCTGTTGGCCGTGAAGCAGTTGAAGGAAGAAGGTGCCCTCCTCCCCGTGTGCAACATGCTCCACTGGGCTTCCCACAGCCCAAGGACTGTCCCACACAGCAGGACAGACCCTTCCTACTGGTGGTTTGGTACGTGGGTAACCAGAAGCAGCAGCTCTGAGTGACCCACTCCTGCTGATCACCTTTTAAACCCATGGTCTAACTTCTGCATTTGCTTGCTATTTGACTGGTAAAGTCAAGGGAAATGCTACCAGGAAAATCGGCAAAAATCTGGTGTAAAGGCTTTTTCAGGGAATGGCTTAGTCTGTTTTAATTGTATCATTTTGACACCACCATCTCTGGTCAGGAGAGGTGCAGGAGTTTAAGGCCACAGAGACCCAGGTAGGTATTCTGGAAAAATCCCAGCCAACTCGTGGAGGAGAAAAACAATCTATGACCAAGAGAAGAAAACTCTTCCAACCAAGGTACATGGAGAAATTGAGCAAGCAGCTGCCATGAGCTACTGCCTGGGCCCCCACAGTGCCCCAAGCTTGAGTTACTCCAAGCACAACTTGATTGAGCTCCACTCGGCCAATGCCATGCCCAGGCACATGCTGAAACCCTTAGCTCAAGCGTGATATTACTTTTAATTCATGCTGGCTGGCTAGCAAAAGGCATATGCCATTGCTAACGTTCATGCAAGTCTTCTATAACTAATACAACCGCTCTGCAGTTACAGACCTAACTCCATTCAAGTGCCATCCCATACATCTCTCTTGACACAAAATCTGCTCGCCAGGAGAAGAACTCCTGGGCTGGCTCATCTAATGGAGACACAAAAGCATCACAGCAGGTATCTGCAGAAACACGAGCATTAGCTCTGAGCAAGTGCAGTCAGCACGTGCAGGTGTCAGCAGAAAGCGCTGACATTTCATAGGGCTCAGTTGCTGAGCTTTCCTAGACAGGGATGTAAACACAGCCTCCTCACTGATCGCAGCTAAACTCCCAGCTCCAACCAGAGATCGGCACACGTTCAAACTGGGATTTGGATTAATGGCTCAGCCTAGCAGCACAGCAGTATCAAAAGCAAACAAACAGTTTGAACCTTCAAGTTGGAGCATGGCACTTTACATTTTGCAGTCAGGGAAATCAACCGAGGGGCTGATTTAATGAGATTATGGCTAAAACCATCCTCTTGCATTGATGCCCTAAGCTCAGCTGTGCTCTCAGGAGAGCAGCACTGCCCCAGGCCAGGTTCCTGGCAAGGGTGGTTTGGCTGCAGGGTCCGTGGATGTCCTGATGTGACACAGTCTCACCACCAGCCTGCTCTGTGTGTGTCTGCAAGTGAGTTTGGTTACTGAACACTCCAGCATTTCCCCCTGCTCTGCACACCTGGAGCAGCCTCACCTTTATCCCCTCGATCCTGAAACCCAGCGTGGCAGTCGAGCTGATGGTCTCCCTCCACTGCATGTAGCGGGGCTTCGTTACTGCACGCAGCACATTCTCCTCCTCGGTGGGGGCATCAGGGTCCACCTCGATCATCTTCTGGTACATGTCCTTCCTTAAGCTCGGCTTCTTCCGGGCCTTTATCAGCTCCTCCTCCAAGTATGTCCTGCAAGGAAGAGACATTAGCAGGGCCATCACATAAGGCACCACATACCCACAGACAGCCCTTGTCCCAGAAATCAGGCCTATCCACAATAGCTGATCCCCAAGGAATACAGCAGCATGGGAAATAACAGAGCAAGCCTGGTTGCAGGTAAATTTATCATGATTTGATTAGCACCCCCATCATCAACACCTGATATCTTCCCAGTTCATCAGGGAACCACAACCACTTTGGCAACAACAAGAGAGGTTATTTCTCACAGGTGCCCACAGCATTGCTGCTACCCCAAGTAAGTCCTGAGGGGAAATCCTGTCCTTCAGCAAACCTGAACAGTGATTCTCACAAACTAAACATGGTTTTCAAGATATGCCCAGGAAACTGCCCATGTGCTCCAGGAACTGGCTGGGTTGAAGGTGGGAGGGAGTTTGCCGCATCCCAGCCCTCAGCATTAGCAGCATCTGCTGCTCCCTCCCAGGTCTGGCCAAGGTGGGCGGCTGCTGCTAAAGCTGCTCCTGTGTCTCTCCTGCACTTTCTCATCCCCCGACCCTGCTAAACAGGGTGTTTTCACACAGGGCTGTTTCAATGCTGATGGCTTTGCCAGGTATGGGTCTGTTTTAAGTGGACTATCTAGCAAAAGCTTCCTGTACAGGATGGAAGGGATGCAGCCTTGCCAGGTGCTCACCATCATCCCCAGGACCACAGGGTGCAGCCACGATGGGGGAAGGAGGATGGAAGGTGCAGGGGAGCGTGCAATGACCTTGGTTTTATGCAGTTACAAACCATTCAGAGGAACACCACCATGTGCCAGAGCCCACCAGTGGAGAATGCCTTCGCTCTGACATGCAGAAAACTATCATCCGCAAAATAACACTTTCTGCAGCAGTAATAAACCACAACCTAACTCCTCTTATGGTGTGCAAACCTGCCCCAGCTCAACCCAGCAAGTGCCCAGGCTCTCTCTGAACAACTCACCAAGACAGGTGAGATGTCTCAGCAAAACAACACAGGAACGTGTCACCTCCTTCCTCCCAAATCCAAACTGCTCTACACCTCCCACTGGCCATGCCCAGCTCTGCAGAGGGGCTGTGCCCTCTCTCCGTGTCCCTTGTGCCAAAATCCCAGCGCTGAGTGTGCAGGTCACCTCCTGACCCAAGCAAAACGCACGGGGATGATACTAGGCAGACTACGTGGGATGGTGTTCCTGTGTTTCCCACAGGCTTACCAAGGCAAACTGGCGTCTTTTCTCAGGGCAGGCATATGACCACTGAGCAGATAACCCCAGGGCATCAGCCCCTTTGAAAAATGCTGCAGATAAAAGCAACAAACGGCTTCAGCTGAGATCACCAAACCCATGACTTTTGGGCAGACAGAATAAAATAGCAGAATAAAGCAGCGGCATGCTCAGAAGCGCTGCTCACGCTGCTCAGAAAGCTAGATTTCCTTCTGATGAGAACGACAGACTGTGTATGTCTGCGGTTTGGTCCCCCCGCATTGCTCCAGGCTTGAACCATCACCAGGACTTAAGTCAGACACGGTTTCATTCAGGGGCGACTAGAGGAGACTGATGCATCCCCAAGTTAGGCTGGCAGGGAAAGCCCAAGCCTGTATCTGCCTGGCAGCAAGCTGCTGGCTCAGGGGACAGGTTTAATAGCCCTGAGGTTTAGTTTATGTGTCACAGCCTCTCTTGCCTGGCCCCAGGGATGCCCCACTCCCCAGCATTAGCCCAATTCACCCTCCCTCACCAGCTCCTCCCACAGCACCATCTTATTTAATAATGATGCTGCCTGGCACATTTGTCCCCTTGCCCGCCCTGCCTGTCTTAGCTCCAAAAACCCAGGTGCACAAATCACTCGACGTGTGATACATGTGTGGGAGGCTTTCCTCCTCCCGGAGACAGCCACAGGAGCACCTGACAGCCTGACCAGCAGGTTGTCTTCTGGTGGCCCTCATCTCCGGGTCCAGAGCGGGTCCTGTCTCCTTCCTGCGGCAGCACGGTGCGTGCCAGCTGGGGCCACATGGCTGCGCCGGGGCCCCCTGCCCTTCTCTCCACCCCTCCGGTGGAAAGTATTCCTCACCTCCTCCCTGCCGACAGCCCGACACGCCAGTTTGAGTTTCACATCGGGAGTTCAGGAAGGAAAAAAAAAAAAAAGATTCCTTCCTCCCACAGAAACCATCAGCTTTTCCAGCAGCGCAAGCGTCTCCACCGCGTCTGGGCTGCGCCTTAGCCAGGAAGGGGGGTCTCAACCTACCCTGCCACCAGCCCGCGGCAGACCCAGGGCTGAGCGATGATCTGAGGCTGCTCCAAAACTGGCAGCTGCCCGGGGTCACCAGCGCTGCTCCTATTTGCTCTGGGATGCCCTTGTCAGCTGTGGCATTGCGAGCTCAACGACTGCTGCTGGCCAAGTGGCTGCAGCCTGGGTTCTTGGCGTATCTGTAGATGGTTCTCAAGGAGAACACGGGTAGTGTTGCTCATCTACTAGGAAACTTTTCAAGAGCTTTGCGTGAAAGGCACTAAACTACTTAGCACACACGTTTTATCCCTCAAGTGTGCATGGGAGCAAAGGGTGAGCAGAGGGAAAGTTTCTCACTCACCGAAGCTGTGACATTTAAGTGTCTTTATTTCACCCCTCTGGCACCCTGGCCAGGATCTCCCACACCTTTTGCTCCCTGCCCGTTGGCTGTGTCCTTCTGCAGCAGAAAGGCAGGTTGCCATCCTCCTAAAAGCTACTGTGCCATCCTGGTGTACCCACACCCAAACAGAGTGCTGTCACCTCAGCTCCACTTTCCCAGTACACGGGACAGTCAACAAGCAGCGAAGACGAGAACCTGGTGTGTCCTTCCCATACCCAGGCTTCCCTGTGGCTCTCTCCTCACACTATTGGCTTAGCTTTTCCTGAAGACAGGTGAGCCTGGCGTTCTCACTTGTGTGTTTCAGAGGGTTTTACTCAGGAGATGCATTTCTTTTGAGTATCCCATCTTAAAACTCAAACAACATCCCCAACAACCACTCACCTGACCCCCATTTTGCAGTCCATAACACAGGGGGAGTCAAATTCAGCCAGCAGATCTTCCATCTGGTTGTATCGCTCCCCGTCCTTCACAACGTCGCCGTGGTAGGCAGGAACATAGGGCTTCAGGACATCATTCATCAGGCGGTCGAGGCAGCGCTGCTCTGATTCACAGTGCTTCTTCAGTATCCTGCCGTTGGCCGCTGCCTTGAAACTACCTGAGGGTAACAAGGGACAATATGGCACTCGCTTTGGATGGGGGCTGACACTGTGCCTTCCCAAAACGCGAAGGGCAGCCCAACACCTTGGAAGCATCTCTGTTTACACCTGCACCTGAAAGAGTCCCTGCACGCTGGGCCTTACAAGCTCGGGCTGCCAGATTCACACGTAGTGTCAGAGGTTTATGACCAGCAATGTCACACCTTAAACAGGACGGAGATCTGTCCTGCAGCACCCAACACATTTACTTCACAGCCTCTGTGTACTTCATGGTAGGTTCACATGCTTGTTTCCAGACTCATGCATGGGGCACCTTTGTGCTGGGCACCATCACCTGCTTTGCTGTGGATCAGCAAGAGGGCTTGGGTCTCACCCAAAGGACTCAGCTTTCTGCTGCTTGAGAACAAAGTGGCAGTGATACCTGCTGCCCACAGGAGTCTGAAAGCACAGAGCACTGGACCTCCACGTCACCATCCCTAGCATTTAGATAAGTCACTCTCCTGGGCTACAGATGTGCGAGCTGAAATCTGTGACGTTCATGCAGCAATCAGAAGCAATTCTGGCCAACAAAGCCCATTAACCTGAGATAACGAAGACTCTTTCCACTGCTCTGCCCCTCCCCCTGCTCCATACCTGCGTGTCCCGCTAGCTGGATCCAAGGATACTTCTTCTTGAAAGACATCACAAATGGGGACCAGTGCACCATATTCTTGATCTTCCGCCATGATTTGCTCTAAGAGAAAAAAAAACAATCACAAAGGTGAATGCAATGTTTTAAGCTTCTGCTGTCTGCAAAGTCACTTCAGGCAACACGCAGCTGTTTTGGACAGGGGAAGAGGCACTGGAGCCAGCGCAGGATGGAAGCAAACAGAGAATCTGCTCTTTTCCCACTGCCCTGTGCCAAGCCGGAGCCGCTGGGCCTCGACTCTACGTTCAAAAATCACGAGTAACTTCACTAAAGGGGATGGCGTTACAGTGTTGTTCCAGTTGGCTACTTCTGGTGCAGAGAGCCCAGCCATCCGCATTACCTTGTCTCTGCTCCCCGCATCCTCCACAGAAGCAGCAGGGACATTAACCCATCCTTGGGTACCGCATTAGATCACGGCAGACGGAGCGGGGAAAGGAGCCCAGGATTTCTACCCGGCTACAAAACTCAACTCCAGCTCCCGCGGGGAACAAGAGACGCTCGCACAAGCGCACACAGGCTCACCGCCTGGCTTTTGTTCCCCACTGAAAGGCAGCTGCTTTGTCCATTAAGCTGGCAACCCACGCGCGGCTGATCCGCCTGCTTTGGCCCATCCGTAACTACATTTCAGAGAACAATTCCCTTCTGACATGTTGTGTTTCTCGCCAGATAGATTACACAAAACTCTTAACATGACTGTAACAAGGGCTGCATCGGACATATGAAAGTCTCCCTCGAAGGCTCTTTCCTGCGAGAGTTTTTCCCTGGATTGTTCTGGGGAACATGCCACCGGTAAAAGGCAGGGAGGACAACCTCTTATCTCAGCCCCAGAAGGCGATGGTGCAAACAAATCAGGCGAACAATATACAATGGTGACAATGGAAAAATGCCTTCTTGCAGGAGTGGGGACAAACAGACGGCATAGTCCTGGCCGCTCCGAGCTACTGGGTTCAGCTGGAAGCCCACAGATAAATTATCCTCATTTGCTCCGCTCTGAAGGCATGGGAGGGAGCCTTCCAGAAAGCCCAAGTAATCTCTTCCTCGTGTTTGGAGAACCGGCCCCTGTTCCAGTAACGCTTCGCAGACAGGCGGGGAAGAGCCAGCAGCCCCGACTTGCAGTTTGGATGCTTGTCGGGGGTGAACTCACAGCGCAGGAATCCGTGCTGGGAACTGCTGACATGTTTAAATGGCAAGGAAGAAGCCAGACAAAGATGTTAGTGTCTAAAGCGTGGAAATTACATCGGGTTACCCCTGTGCCGTGCACCAGCCCCGCCGGGGAGCGGGGACACATCACATGGAGATGCAGGGACTGCCCGCACAGTGGGGACCAGGGGTGGGAGAGGGGAAGAAGAAAGGTCCTTCCCCACCTCCCTGCCCGGGAGGAGCAGGGTGGCCCTTCCCTGGATGACTGCCTGTGGCCGGGAGCGTCCCAGCTCGCTCTGGCACCGGTACAGCAGTGCAGGAGTTTGGCAAGCAGCTGCCCAAGCGTGGGGTGACACCGGGCATCCCCTTCGCCCAGGCTCCTCTGCGCCACAGGCTTGCTCTGCCATCCGGGTTGCTTGCTTTGGCAGGGGGGTCGGGCAGTTCCCTACCTGACATGAGGATGAATGTTTTTATTTCCAAACGGAGTGCCAGAACTTGTGCGCTTTAGCTGTTCTTTGTTCTCGTTTTGGCAGAGAGCGGGAGGGAAGGGGGGGGGGGGGGTGTCCCCTCCTTTTGTTTTTAAAATAGTAACATCAAGGCCTGGCTGACGTCATGAAAAAAAGGGGGAAGAAGAAGTCTCCGAGGGAGTTTGGACTCCAGACGAGTGTGACCCACCTCCTCTAGAACAAGGAGAAGGAGTCCTCCCCCCACTGCACAGCATCGTAAGTCACTCAGTCCCAGGAAACATGCCAAGGCAACGCACCTTCCCCAGCCAAGATTTTGTTTTTTCGGTGGTTAGAGCTTTATAGCCTAAAACCTTGAAGTACTTCAAAGCACAGGCAGAATGAAGGCAAGTGGCACCCCAAGCAGGGCAAAGCACCCTGGATCCCCCCTGCCGGGTCTCGCCCAGGAGCGCTCCCGGTGTGGGGTAATGGCCCCCGGGTCCCCTGGAGAAACAAAACACCCCAAAAACCTTTCTGCTGAGCTGAACAAGACAGAAAGCCAGTCACTGAGCACATCCACACGAGGAACAGGTAGCACATCCCCATCCCTTTTCAGCGGAGGGAAACGTTTTCATCCAGACACCACCCTGTTTCAGACACACTTTTGGCTGGGCGATTCTAACCCAAGTTTTAAGGATGTGTTCAAGAACTTGCTTTGTGGAGAGACTTGAGATGACTTCGTCCATCTCAAATCACTCCCAGCTTGCCAGAAATAGGCTGTGAGGCAAGTTGTTGGAGGTGGGGATCACCGGCAATTCTGCTTCACGTAGCCCCTTCCTCCCCGGCTTTGCGGCAGCTCTTCATGATGGCACTTGCAGGAGAGAGGAGGGACCATGCCCTCTGCAGTTCCTTCAGGAGCCATCGGATTTTTGTTTCACTCCTGAGCCACCTCCCAGTGTTATGAGGGAAAGACTGCTTCGTGAAAAGGAAGCTCTCCCGTGCCCTCAGCCCATCTCCCGTTACTGCCCAGCATGCACAGCTTGTTTTGCGGAGCAGGCTGCTGGGACCAATTTTTTTGGGGGGTGTACGTATCTATACAACAAGTCCGGTCACTCTGTAGAGGGAGTGCTCAAAAGGCGGTTAGTTTTGCAAGGGGCAGCTTCCCTAGCAAACCAGCAGCTGCATGACTTCATCTGTCTGCTCTCCAGGGCTGCCGACCCACTGCAGAGGAGAGACAGAGGCTGGACCACGGAGGAACAAGACTGGCCAATGTCCCCAGTGATCCTGCTACCCCCTTTGTCTGAAAATAAATTCTCCCCAAGTAAGGAGTTGGTCTAAAAGTTCACCCTTCATACCTTCCCTGCAGCTTCAAAAGAGATGTTACGTGGCTGTGCTGCTTCACAGCAGCAGGGTCCTTCACAGCCACTGGAGACGGCTGAGAGCTTCCAGCAAGAGGGTCTGCATTTAATGGAACGCCAGTGTGGGTTCAGACGGAGGTGAACATCTCAAAGCTGATGGCTTGGCATCCCGGTTGTGCCAACCCCTGTGCCAGGCTCCTGCAGCTGGCCATGGAAAATCAGAGCCACGAGGTTCACACCACTCCAGTTCGACTCGGTGGCTGTGTGCAGGTAACAGCCCCCCCGTGCTCGGCGGGCCGCTGCCTCCCGCCCTGCCTGGTGCTATTAATATACAAAGGGCGTATTAAAGCTATTTACAGTAAAGAAATCTTCTTCAACCCGTCCCGTTGGGAACTGTAAGGGCATCGCCTCCAGGCTCTTCCGTAACTTTCAGTTTGTATTTCAAGGAGTTATTTCTGCATAGGTCCAGGAGCACAGGCGCAGCTGTACGTCCACGGAGGAGTTACCTGCAATAACTGCTCCGACTCAGACTAAAGGATTTTTCACCATACTGGAAAAAAATAGCTTTGCAGGTGGCGTTACCAAGTGATGCTGGTGAAGGGCAGATACGTGCTCCTCTTGTTTGCCTGCAAGGAAGCGAGCACGCAGGTCGTCACGCCGAAAGCTGAGCACGCTTCCAGCTCTTGCACGATCAAAGCCTGCGCCTGCTTGTGGCACTCTGGCACCCTGCTCTCCCCCAAATCCAGCTCTGCGGTTGCTTTCCCTCCCAGAAAACTCACAAAGCCGTGTTGACCGATTGCACTCTTGCACACACAGCAATGGCACGTAGCCTGTATAAACAGGCAATACGCACGAGGTGTCTGATGCAATTCAACACTTTTTATTTAAAACCTGTTTCAGCATCAGCAAATGCTGACTGATTAGCTGTTAGGTAGAAAACCATTTAGTGACTCTGGAAATATATTTAGTGAAGAGCAGCACTGTTTTCCCTAATTGTCTGTCACATGGAAATGAAGCTGAGCAACTGTCAGAAACAACTCTAAAAATGAACTTTCAAGGGTTTCTGCAGCACTCTGCTTCTGCCTCTGCCCTCTTTCAGCTTTCGCTCGCTACGGAGCATGGTGCCCCAAGCTGGGGGTGGGATACGGGCCAGAGGAGTTAAGCCCTCCCAGCGAGCACCCACAATTGGTCAGTGGGAGAGGAGTGCTGGGAAAACAATTTTATCTGCTGCATGTTTAACTTTACTTATCTGAAGCTTAAAGCAAACTCTAGGCTTTCCCCATCTGTCAATAGAGCTTCATATGGAAAGAACAACATAGGAGAACTTAGTGCCAACCCAGAAGGTCAGAAGATACATTGTGTTTAATTAGATTAAACAAAAAGTGACTGATGAGCTCAGTGCTTGCTGTACATTTACCCTAAAGCATATGGCATTCCTTTAATGTCTGCTTGAAGGAGACGTGCATTTCTGGGACTGCCTGTCATCTCCCTTTCCCAGCACGGATGCTGGTGGAATTTGACTGGTGTTATTCCCTGTGCACGGATCCTGCGGGGTGCTCTTCCCTTTCCATGCGCTGAGCCAGAGAGATAGGCAGTAACTGATTTAATTTGCTGGAATTACGGTTTCCTATGGTTTTATGGGACCAAATGTTCCTGGAAATAGCAGGAGCTGGACCTGTATTTCAGTGCTTTTTATTAACTACAGCATGCACTGTTAGAGGCAAGATCATACAGCTGGGCCAGTGGGACGAGGAAGAGTGGGAGCAGCATTAAATTAACGATTTTCCCAATTCTGAAAAGAACTTCAGCCCCTTTCTCCCAGGAAGATCCTGAAATAGCCTAGAATCAGAAGAGATGGAGAAAAACCGTAAGGAGACAGCAGTGTCACCAATGCTCACCACTTCCCCTGGCTTCAGTGAAGCCGCTGCAGCCCAGAGGCTCACAAGTGACACCCAGGCTTTCCCTTCGCTTTGGAGAAAGCCCCGCTCCTGCGGCATGCTAACATCCGAGCACCCTTGGTGCTGCTTGCAGAACTGAAACACCCAGGTGGCCAGGCAGCCCCACCGGCACGTGCCCAGCTGCCCACCCCTCGCCAAGCGCAGTG